TGTGTGTACCGGCAACACGGAGGCTATCCGATGCTACTGGTGTGTGTGAGGAATTTCCCGTCAGTTCATTTGACAGAAGTCCTCAGCTTCAGACCCAGGCTGTCTTCTTTCATAGTAGTCTCAAGAAGTCCGAGTGCGGGTATAGAGAGCCGTGAATGTGTACAGAACATCCGCTGCTGTGGCCGTGTGATCCCACATACCCATCAACAGGGAAGACGGGACACAAACAAGGGGCCAGCCAGGGCACACACAGCCTCCGCTGCAGCCAGACGGAGGTGCCACGGCACAGCAGCAAGTGCAGAACTCCTCACCTTTTGCTCTCTTTGGAGCCGCGACGGTTTGAATGATGGCCTCCACGCATCAGCTCATATATTTGAATGCTTGGCCCCTAGTTGGCGAGCTGTTTAGGAAGGCGTGGCCGTGTTGGAGGCGTGGCCCTCTTGGAAGATGTGTGTCCCTAGACGTGGGCTTTGAGGCTTCAAAAGTTCATGTCAGACTTTGTCCCTCTGACTCAAAATTTTGGGTCAGCTGTGAGCACTCAGCTACTGTTCCAGCACTACGCTTGCCTGTCTGCCGCCATGCTCCCGCCATGCTGGTCATGGACTCACCCTGTGAAACTGTAAGCAAGCTCCCCAAGTAAATGCTTTCTTTTATAAGTTGCCTTGGTCAGGTGTCTCTTCACAGCAATAAAACAGCGACTAAGACGAGGATGTGCGCCAACGTCCTGGCTTCATGGCCTTAGATGGGTTGATTTTATTCTGGATTGACTTTTTTTAAAAAATTTTTTAAAATACAGGTCTCTGGTAGCCCAAGCTGATTAAGGACTCAATATGGGGACCATTGAGATGACTCAGTGGTAAAAAGGTTTTTGATACGAAGCCTGAAGACCTCAATCTTATCCTTGGAAGCCATGAGAAGACCAACTCGTTTAATGCCCTCTGACTTCCACAAGACACATGGGACCCACCCAAATAAATAAAGTCAAATACTTTTTAAACATAACATGTAGCTAAGGATGGACTTAGATTCTCCAGTGGTTGTTCTTCAGCCATTGTGAGCCTGACCCCCGTGCCAACCCCTCAGCAGTGATTCTCTATGTAGTTGGTCTCATAAGTTGGCCCTGACTGAAGCTTTTTGGGAAGAATACTGGAGAGGTGACCATGTGCTTTCTGTGTGTGTCATACCCAGGGTATGTGATGTCACCATGACTCATGGCTGGTGATGAGGAGTCTGCCAGAACTCTCCACTATTTTCCTAGGGTTATTTTAAGGACTGTGTGATAAAGAGAGACACCTGGGGCCTCAAATATACCATTGTGTTCTATACTGTGTACAAGGGACACAGGGACACAGGTGTCAGTGAAAGCACTTGTTTACATCAGCCACTCAGGGCTGCGTTCCTCAGCTCTCCCTGTTTGTTTTTAAATTTTTTATTACATTTATATACTTGTGTGAGTGCATTCAAGCACAAGCCAAGACATGTATGTAAAGAGCAAAGGAAAACGTGTGGGAATCTGTTGTCCCCTTCCACCGTGAGTCCTAGGAATCAGTCAGCTCTCGGATTGCAAATGCATTTAGATGGGGCACATCACTCACTACACTGCTCTGGGGTTGTTTTTTTTTTTAAATGGTAGTAATGAGAATTGAACCTAGGAACTTGTGCATGCTAAGCAAGCACTCTATCACTGAACTACACATGAAGCCCCATGGTACCTTTTCTTTCCTTTTTTTTTTTTTTTTTGGTTTTTCAAGACAGGGTTTCTCTGTGTAGACCTGGCTGTCCTGGAACTCACTCTGTAGACCAGGCTGGCCTCAAACTCAGAAATCCGCCTGCCTCTGCCTCCCAAGTGCTGGGATTAAAGGTATGTGCCACCACTGCCCGGTGGTACCTTTTCATTTTAAAGCCTTTACTCATTTTAAAGTTTTATGTGCATGAGTGTTTTGCTTGCACTTAAGTGTTGCATGTGCCTTCAATGCCAGCAAGAGCAAGTTTAGATCCCAGCACCCATGGCAGGCAGCTTACAACTTCCTGTAACTCCAGTTTCAGATCTGATGCCCTCTTCTGGCCTTTATAGGCACTGCACACAAGTGCACATATTCATACACAGACACACACACACACACACACACACACACACACGCACACACACACCACATAAATAAAAATAATAGAACTATCTGGACATGGTAGCACAGGCCTTTAATCCAAGTACTTGGAAGGCGGAAGTAGGTAGATCTTAGTGAGTTCAAGGCCAGCCTGGTCTACATAGCAAGTTCCAGGCTAGTCAGAGATTCATAGTCAATAATTATAATACAAAATCTTTAAAAAATTAACCATCAAAGGCAAAGAGAAAGTCATAACATTGTAACTGGCCCCTTGAAGCTGACCCCTGGTCTCACCCAGCTAGAACACCCTACTTGTATAGTAAGTAACTAAGGAAGAAGCCATAGTCCAAAAGGTCATAGAAAGGTCAGTAGCATGCCCATCATCTCTCACGAGACAGTCTTAACTAAGCAGCAAGGGGCTGGCAGAGAGAAATCTAGGCCCTAGATCTACCCCTGCCTTGGCTGGGTTTATCAATCTGTTCCATGTTACTATAGTGAAATGTTCAAGACTGAGTAGCTTTATAAAAATGCATTCATTCAGTTTAATATATGTCCTGGAGGTTCAAAGGCTCAACACTGAGCGATGCTTTCTTGCTGGCAGAGTGCCCAGTAAGTGCAAAGCATTGAATGGCAAGAGACAGGGAGTATGAGCATGTCCTCCGTGTCCTCCCAGTACACATACTTTTTGAGACAGAATTTCTCATAATGTAGCTCTAGCTTGACTGGAAAAGGCTAGGTGGACCAGGCTGGCCTTGAGCTCTAAGAGGTGCGCTTGCCTCTGCCTCTTCTCTTCATATGAAGCCACCAGTATTCACTAACTGGGCCGCCTTCTGGTGACTTCATGTGTCCCAATCACCCCTCAGTGACATCTCCTCGAAAGTCCACACCTGGGTTAAGTTCTGTCCTTTTTATGGAGTCAGGGTCTTATGTAGCCCAGGCTCCACCATGTCAAGGGTGACTCTGAACTGTTGATTCTCCTGCCGCCACTTTTTGAGTTCTAGGACGACAGGTGCCTGCTGGGCTTGCTCACTTTCCTTTCCCTGCTTCTTCCTTTTCTTAGCTACAGATCCAGTTTGAGGCTAACCTGGGCTACATAATAATAGTTATCCTAAAATCCTAAAAAATAGCTAATATCCTCAAAATAGTTAATCCAGTGATCAAGCACAGTGGCACAGGATGCTTATCTATCTATGCCCGGGTCTACAGCAGCAGCGCCTGCAGTGGCGTGCACTGCATCTGCAGGTCTCCATGAATTCAAGGCCCGCTGGAACACACTGCAAGAATGGAGTTGTGTGAGAATTCTGAGTGCTCTAAGAAAACAAGGCATGACTCTTGTGACCTCAGTTTCTTCAAAACACAGAACTGTTCTTGGAATGTGTTTTCGTGCTCCTCCCCCAGGTGTAGTGGATAGGAGTGCATTTACTTCAGCTGTTGTTATTCATGTGCCTCTATGGGAAAACATTTTTGTGCCACGTGTGGCCTTATAATTGAACACTTCACCCATGCGATGCTCCTTAACCCTCAAAGTGTAACTTGCCTGAAGATCTGAGTTACAGGTGCCTATTGCATGAGACTTTAGTCTGCCTCACGTTGAGACCCCGCTCTTCCAGGTTTACACTGCCAAACAGAGCCATAAACAAAGGCTAGCCAAGTCTATATAAAGAGTTCTAGGCCAGCCAGGCCAAGCAACATAGTGAGACCCTGTCTAATCAAAACAAAAGGACCGGGGCTATACCTCGGTGGGTAGAGTACCTGCCTACAATGTAAGAGGCTCTGAACTGTATCCCATCACTGGAGACAATGCATAGTGGTACAGGCCTGCGATCCCAGGACCAAAGAGGCAGGAAGATCAAAGCCAAATTCAGCTACACAGAAATTCAAGGCTAGTCTGGGCTATACAAAACCTTGTCTTAAAATGATTCCTTATGGGGTTGGCAGGTTGACTTGGTTAAAGCACTACGGAGTTTGATGGCCTGAGTTCAATCCCTGGGACTGGCAGGATAGATTCTAGCAAATTATCACCACATGCACCACCCCCAAAGTAAAACAATGTTAAAAATGCATTTAAACTGGTCAGTGGTGGCACACGCCTTTAATCCCAGCACTTGGGAGGCAGACAGGCAGATTTCTAAGTTTGAGACTGGCCTGGTCTACAGAGTGAGTTCCAGGACACAGCCAGAGCTACACAGAGAAACCCTGTCTCAACCCCCCCCCCCAAGCGTTTTTAAAACAAAAAACCTCTATTTAACCATTATATATATATATATCATCTATACATGCACAGAACAATTCCAGGGGGATCCAATCATCTACACACACTCCATAGGCCTTTCAGCCCTTCGTGTGGGTGGTCTGAAGAGTCAATCTAGACTCCCTGTTGGGGCGGGAGAGAGGGGTGTCAGGAATGCATGTCCTTCCTCACAGTAGCACTTGTACTTATATGGCCATCTCACATAGATGAATTCAAACTTCAAAAATTTTTATTAAAGGGCGTTAAAAGTGCTCGAAGCCAAGCCTGATGACCCAGGTTTCATCCCAGTACCCACATGAAAAGAACATTCCCCCTAAGTTGTCCTCTGACTTCCATACGAACGTGCTCACATAGATTTACACACATAACACACGATAAGAATAAACATAGCTTGACATTTGTTAAAGCTGTTGGCAGTGTTGCCCACCTGAAGTTCCAGCTGTTCAGGAGGCTGAACCCTGAGGGTCTCTTGAATCCAGGGTTTGAGACCAGAGTGAGTATCATTGCAAGATCCTGACTCAAACAATTCAAACAAACAAGCAAACAAACAAACAAAACCCGTTTAGTAAAAAGAATAAATCCTGGGACTTGGGGCTGTGGCTTAGTTGCCAGCGGTAGAGTGCTTGTTTAGTACGCAAGAGGCCCTGGGCTCCGAACCGGATGTGGTGCTTCCAATCCGTAACAATAATAATTTACCATCACGGGGGAGGAAACTGGACCGAACGGACGCCGGGGCACCCGATCCAGCGCTTTGGCGCAGGTACCCAAGGTCTCCAGGCTTCTGGCGTTCAGTGAGAGGCAGGGCCTGTCCCTGAAGCGAAACCAGTGTCTTCCCGCCTTCCTATTGGTGGATCTCTTCTTGAGGGCGGGACCTATCGTCATAGGCTTTTCTGATTTGCTGTCACCTTCGACTCGTAACCGGAAGCTCTGTGGCTCAACATGACGGCGCCCAGCGGTCCCACCGAGCCGGCTCGGGTCCTCGGCTGGCCGCGTGAGTAGGTGGGTCGCGTGTGGGAAGGCTATGGGACTGTCTACGATTGGGGCGTCCACTTCCAGGCCTGGTAGAGCCGGGGAGGATAACCTTCAACTTGGCCTCAGAATCAGGGCACTGTGACCTTTTGGGGTGCAGGCTTGGGAACGTGTGAAGAAAGGTTGCTGGGCACCTCTTGCTGAAGGCGTTCGGTTTCACAGGTGGGACAGCGGACTCGGGCCACACTTGGTCTGTGAGGCAGGCATTGGAACCTTCCAGCCTCTCTCAGAGACCCGGAATTGTGCCAGGCCACCCACATACATACACACACACACACGCACACACGCTACCTCGCTGTTAAGATTTTTCTACGTTTTGTAGAAACTTACTACTTATTCACGCACAGTTGATCGGTGTTGGGCATTTACCATGTACCAGGCACTGGCCTAGCTGGTGGAGACACAATGAGAAAAACATTTTTAAAAAGTATTACCTAAGAGAACCAATTATTGAGCAAATCACAAACAAACAGAACAGGTAATTTCGTGACTTCAGAACAGTGATTGTTGCAAGCAATGTGTTTTTCCCTGAGACAAGAGTCTTTATGTATCCCAAGCTGGCCTCCAACTCATCACTGCTCCAGCCTTCTGAGTGCTGGATTACATCCATACACCAAGATAGTAGTAGGCAGAGGGTAAAACAAGTTCAAAGCCTGTGGGACCAATAACTTGTCTTGTTTCATAAACAGTGTGGCTGGAGCTACAAGAGATGGGGGAAGTACAGCAGGTAGAATCCATCCGATGTGTATTTACTTTGAAGTTTTTATTTTGGTTGTGGGGGGAGCATACATGTGCCATGGTGCATGGTGGAGGTCAGAGGACAACTCTGCAGTTTTATGCATACACCTTATGTTGGTTCCAGGGTTTGAACTCACTCAGGTCATTAGGTTTGCTTTGTTCTGACAGCAAGTTCCTTTCCCAGCTGAATTATCTCTCCCGCTCTTATTTATTTAAATTTTAGGCAGGACTTTACTGTAGCTCAGACTGCCATGGAACTCACCAGCTGGTTTGATTCTGGAGGCCATCCTCCTGCCTCAGACTCCCCAGTGCTGGCTTTACAGATATAACACCTATCACGAGTGCATTTTTTAAAAATATTTATTTACTTTATACACTGTCGCTGTCTTCAGACACACCAGAAGAGGACATTGTATCCTATTACAGATATGGTTGTGAGCCACCATGTGGTTGCTGGGAATTGCACTCAGGACCTCTGGAAGAACAGTTGGTACTCTTAACCACTGAGCCGTCTCTCCAGCCCCTCACTAGTGCATTTTAAGACGGTCCCACTATGTAGCCCTGGCTGGTCTAGAGCTTGCTATGTCTATATAGATCTGTCTCACCTCAAGCTCAGAGATCTGCCAGCCTGTGTCTCCCAAGTGCTGGGATTACAGGTATGTGCTATCACACCCAGCATTCAGGGATGTATGTTAGTGCATGTACACATGTAAGCACCTGTGTACAGAGGACAAATGCCAACCTTGGATGTTGTTCCTCAGGCGCTGGCCACTGTGTGTTTTGAGACAGATCTTTCACTGAGACATGTGGCTCACTGATTAGGTTGGCTAGCAGCGAGCTCAGAGACCTACCTGTTTCTGCGTCCTCATATTGCTCAGATTGCAAGTAGCTTTGTATGTATGTCCTGGGGATCCAGCTCAAGTCCTCATACTTTCAGGGCAAGCATTTTATCAATAGAGCCATCTTTCCAGCCCACCTTGTTTCTGTTGTTAAAAGCGTTCCTTTGCAATGGAGGGAAGTAACTAGAAGTGCAAGAGAGAAAGGGCAGAAACATATGCAGGGAAGCAGACCATGGACTAGTGCAGTGACCTGCAGAGGAATAGGTTTGGACGTAGTCTCCAGGACTATCTGATTGCCTGAATAGGGGCATAGTGAACACTGAATGATTCCTACAGTATGGCTTGAATAACCAGGAAGGATGGTGGTTATTCTGACTAACCTCCAGAGAAGCACAGTAAGCAAAGGTGTTGTCAGTTAGTGTTCCCTGAATGGAGTTTGGAATGGCTGGTTTGTACCAAAGTTATACTTAGGTGTGGGAGCCAGACCTTTAGGGAACCATGAGCATAACACTCTAATACACTTAGGGGCCGCCTATGAGTATTGCAGTGTAGATTCTCACGTGGCCTGAGGTGGAACCAGCATTTTACAGGTCCTGGGACACAATTTGCAAGGCAGAGTTTTAGAGTCTTCTTATCTAACCATGCAAGGATCTACCATCAGCCACACCATCAGCCTCTTACTGGGGGATTCTAGGGCAGGGGCTCTACTATTGAGTCACACTACCAGCCCCTCACTGAGGGAATCTAGCAGAGGCTCACTGGGCCCAGCAGCTCACTGGAGGAGTCTAGGCCACGTCTGTACTACCCAGTAACAGCCTGAGTCCAGTCCAGTTACATTTCCTCAGGCCAGCAGCTGTATCTCTCACCTAAAAGTTGTCAGAAGTGTGTACATGTTTCCACTAAGCCTGAATCTTCAGGTTTTGTGCTCCCAGGGCATTTGTCTGTACCCTCAGCTTTGCAGACACTGTGGACATTGAAAGGCATCTCATGATTGGTCAAGAAATAGGCATGGATGCCAGGAAGAAACCCAAGGACATTAACAAAGGCTATAGGGGAGGGGACATCACTATCTGATACTTGGGAGAAAGTGAGAAAGTTGAAACCTTGAAGTTGCAGGGCAGTGGGGCGCATGCCTTTAATCCCAGCACTTGGGAGGCAGAAGCAGATGGATTTCTGAGTTCGAGGCCAGCCTGGTCTACAGAGTGAGTTACACAGTGAGGACAGCCAGAGCTACACAGAGAAACCCTGTCTTGAAAAACCAGAAAAAAAAAAAAAAAAGAAACCTTGAAGTCATTGCTTCTTCAAAGTGTTGAGCACACCAATTCATTGGACTGCCATTACTGACATGACTAGGGTAGCTATCAGGTTGCTGAGGAAGGAGCCAGTTCATTGACATGACTTAGGTGTAGTTTTAATGACCAGAAAGCAGGGAGTGGGAGGGAGGTTTTTGAGCCAAGTTGGGAGATACTAGAAAAAGTATTTGTTTTGTTTTTCCTTAAATAAGTTCTCATAGTAGCCCTGACTGGCTGGGATCTCACAGAGGCCTGGCTGCCTTTACCTCCTGGCTGCCGGGACTGAAGGCGTGCATTATGACGTCAGGCTGAACTGGAGGAAGTTGCTACTCGCTTGGTTTTACTTACTGATGTGCTCTGTGCCTGTGCCCGCAGCACTGGAGGAGTGGAGGTCAGAGGACGACTTGTGGGGTTAGCTCTTTCCTTCCACCCTTGATCACAGGGGTGGGATTCTGCATGTTGTCAGACATGGCAGCGGCTGCCTTTATCTGCAAAGCTGGCTTGTCAGCCCCAAAGGCATTTTGTGGTTGTTGTTTTGTTTCCTTGGTTTTCTTTTCCTGTTTTTGAGACAGGTTTTCATGTAGCCCAGGCTGACTTCATACTTGCTGTATATGCAAGTCTGATTCTCTTGTTTCCACCTCAGTGCTGAGATTTACAGGTGTATGCCACAACACCCATCTCCAGAAAGTTTTAGTGGTAGCAAGAACAATCCAAACTCTTCCTAACATGTTCTCTGTGCCCTAGTTACCCTGATACCAAAACCAAACAGGTATACTAAGAAAACTACAAACTAGTGCCTCATGAATACAACTGTAAAATTCGCTCACAATGGGCTTGCAAACATGCAAAAAGAATTCTATTAGGGTTGTTTTGTTTTGTTTTTCGAGGCAGAGTTTGTCTGTGTAGCCCTGGCTGTCCTGGAACTCACTCTGTAGACCAGGCTGGCCTGGAACTCAGAAATCCGCCTGCCTCTGCCTCCCAAGTGCTGGGATTAAAGGTGTGCACCACCACTGCCCGGCTGCAAGATTAGTTTAATATCTGACCATTTATGTATATATTAATAGAACAAACCCTTAAAATTACATGATTATTTCAGGCAATGCAGAAAATATTTGAGAAAATCCCACACTTACTCTTTTTATTTGTTTGAAACAATATCTCACTGTGTAGAGCAGGCTGGCTGCGGTGGTCACTGCAAGTGTCATAGCCAGCAGTGAGACAGTCCAGATGAGCTTAAGAATGAAAGCTGGGTCAGCAGAACTTAGCTGGTACTGGTTCCAAACTTCTGGAGTCTAATGTCAAGTGATTTATTTCTTAAACATTTAAGCAGTGAAACTTTGGGGCTAAGTTTCCATGTGACAATAATTACAACAACGCTTAGGCATGGCTGCATCAGAGCTCCCTTGCAAAGTTTATCTCTAGCACAGCACCTGTCCCTCAAGAATGGCTTCTGTTGATGGAGAACAGTGTTCAGGACAAAGGCCCGGGAGGAAAGGATTGTAGTAAGCATAAGGCTGGGTTCTACTGACTGAGAAACAGTGCTCAGGACAAGGGCCCAGGGAAGAATAAGCAGAATAGCAAACTCTTTTTCAGAATACATGGGACCTCTTTCATGAGAATGGGTTCTACTGACTGAGACAAAGTCCTCAGGATTCTGGGGGGTTCTATGGGGCTGGCTTTATAGAAGAGCAAAGATTGCCAAGTATTTACACATTGATTTCCAACCTTCTGGATGGAAAATGGGAGTCAGTTTCTTCGTCTTTAGTGCTGTCTGTAAGCTGTGCCCTATCTATAGATAGCCTCGAACTCACAGAGATCTGGCTGCCTCTGCCTCCTGAGTGCCACCATGCCCAGTGAAAGAATAGATTATTTTGCCAGAGTTTAGGAGCCAGACAAGGCTGTGTACTCTGGCCACGTGTCAGTATTGTACCAGAGCTTCCAGTAGTAGCACTCAGGCAGGAGGAAGGAATAGCGCTGCCATGGAGATAGTGCAGGTAGTTAAGTACTTTCTGCAGGAGCCTGACCACCTGAGTTCCATCTCAGGTACCCAGGGTAAAAAAAGAGATGGGACTGGTGAGATGGCTCACTGGATAAAAGTGCTTGCTGCCAAGCATAAGGTCCTGAGTTCAATCCCCAGCACCTACTTGGTGGCTCACAACCATCTGAAACTCCAATTTCAGAGAATCCAAAACCCTAGTTTGACTTCTCCAGGTACCAGGCACTCAAGTGGTGCACATACATAAAGGCAAAATATTCATACATATGGCAAAAGAATTTTTTTTAGTTAAACAAACAAACAAACAAACCAGCCAGGTGGCAGTGACATGCCCAGCACCCAGGAGGCAGAGGCAGGTGGATCTCTGTGAGTTCAAGGCCAATCTGGTCTACAGAGTGAGTTCCTGGACAGCCAAAGCTACACAGAGAAACCCTGTCTCAAAAACAAACAAACACACACACACACACACACAAAGAAAAGAGGAGGAGGGCATTGAGATGGCTCAGGGGATAAAGGTGCTTGCTGCTAACCCCAAGGACCTGAATTCCATCCCCAAGGACCCACATGGTAGAAGAAAGAACTCAGTATTGCAAGTTGTCTTCTGTGCTGGTGTCTGGCACATTTGTATACACATTCAGGAATGCACACATAAAGTTTTTTAAAAAGTAGTAATAATTTTGTCTGAAGCCACACCTGTTGTCAGGTGGCTCCTACTTCTGAGCCCCCTCTCTTATTTTTCTTAAGATTTTATTTATTTTATTTATATGAGAACACAGTATTTGTCTTCAGACACACCAGAAGAGGGCATCAGATCCCATTACAGATGGTTGTGAGCCATTTGCTGGGAACTGAACTCAGGACCTCTGGGAGAACAGTCGGTGTTCTTAACCACTGAGCCATCTCTCCAGCCCAAACCTTCTCTTAACCCTTGTGCTCAAGGCTGTCTTCTTTTCCTTTTAAAGCTGGAGGAGGCAAAGAAAGGGGGGGTCCTTGGGGCTCACTGACCAGCCAATCTAGCTGAACTGGTAAGCTCCAGTTCAATGAAAGGCTGTCTCAGAAAATATGGTGGTACATGCTGTTAATCCCAATGCCCCAGAGGCAGAGGTTGGGGATCTCTGTGCAGTTTGAGGCCAGCCTAGTCTGCATAGCAACTTCTAGACCAGCCAGAGCTACATAGTAGGACATTGTCTCAAAAAGGGGGTTGGGGAGCCTGAGAGTGGAGAGGTGGCTCAGCCATTAAGAGCACTCCCAAAGGACTAGGTTTGATTCCCAGTACTCACATGGTAACTCAGCCATCTCTCACTGCAGCCAACACCTTCTTCTGGCCTGCATGGGCACTGGGCATGCGTGCAGTACAACAGAGAGACATGCAGGCAAAACACCCATACATATAAGATAAAAGTAATTTAAAACATCTTTAAAAAAGCCCGATGTCATGGCAGTCCTACAGTGAGGTAGAAGGCTATTGAAAAGTTGTTCTCTGGCCCCCACAAAAGTATTATAGCCTGTGAACCTGTGTATACACATACACACAAAATAAACATACAGATCTTTCAAAAAAACTGAAGTAGAAGAACTGCCAGGCATGAGCCATAAGCCTGGAAAGCTAAGTTCAATGCTGAGACCCACATGGTGGGAGAGAGGACCGATTCTCCACGCTATCCTCTGACCTCCACACAAGTGCACGCACGTGCATGCACACACACACGCACAATAAATCAGTAAATATAATTTGAAAGTTTGCCAAGCATGGTAGCTCACACTTGTAATCTCAGCATTGGGGAAACAGAGGCAGGAGGTTCAGGAATTTAAGACCGCCCTTGGATACCTGGGCAATATGATACTCTATCTTAAAAACAACAAAATGAAACAGAAGTAACCCTTGGAGTTTGGTGGACTAGGCTCTTCTGTCTGAACGGTGCTCTTTGTCACAGTGATGCCCTGTCTCATGGAAGGTGTGCTGCAGGCTAATGCTGTCCCAATCTCTCTCACTTAGGTGTGGTTGAATCTACAGAGGCATGAGCTGGGTGCAGGTCAACTTGCTGGCCCGAGGCCTCTCTAGGGGCTGGGGAGGCATCTGCAGGACTGCCCTCTCAGGAACTCCCTTTGCTCAGGTAACCACAGGCTGGGCATTTTTGGGAGGAGAAGGGAAGGCCTGGGCTTTGCTCTCACCCTCTCAGAATCAGACCCCATCTCAGGCACTTAGGAAGGAGAACCAGCTGTAAACGAGAAGCTGTTACACAGCCTCTACTCCACCTCCAGCAAGGCTTCAGTCCTGAAGGCTCCATAACCTCCCCACACAGCACTACCAGCTGGGCCAGGTATTCACATACAGGAGCCTGTGAGGGACATTTCTCATTCTGACCATAACAATCTGCCTCTCTCCCGGGCCCCAGAGACTCCTGGCAGTATCATAATGCAAAATGCATTTCATTCAATTTCAAAAGTTCCTTATGGTTTTTCACAGTATCAATATCATTAAGTCCAAAGTCTATCCTGAGACTCAGGCAATCTCTCAACTGTGACATCCTAAGAAGTAGAAGTAGATCACACACTTCCATCAGGGAATGAATGGCACAGACTGTGTCTTCCCATTCCAAAAGGCAGGAGTGAAGCCATAATGAAGAAACACTGAACCAAAGCAAGAGTGATATCCTGGCAGGGCAAACTCTCAGCCCTGTAGCTCCAATGTGTTAGGTGTCAGTTCCAACACGCTCAGATAGCCCTACTCCTCTAGCCCTGCCGCCCCAAAACATTCCACGCCCCAGACTGGCTCCACTCCCTGTGTGCGGCTGTCCTTGGCAGAAATCTCATGGCTCTGACATCACCAATATCTTGAGGTCTGCTCAGCAACCCAAGCTTCTCTTTCACAGACTGACACAATGGTCTTCTGGGAGTACCCACCTTCTCAGGACTCTTGCTTCCTTCCTGGCTTCAAAGCCAGTACCATACAACAGGCCAGGCTGGCTGCCAGCCCGTGGTACTTCATCACAGTAACAGAAAAGTTAACTAGGACAGAAGTTGGTGTCCATAAGTAGGGTGGTTGCTGTAAAGACCCTGACCTTGTTATTTTGGGAAATTTGGTCTAGACAAACAAGTGATTGCTGTAAGCAGAGTTTGATAGGCCTACGGGGAACTTCTCATTCAGACTACAACGGTGTGTGGTGTGTATATATGTGTCTTAGTTAGAGTTTTATTGCTGTGAAGAGACACCATGATCAAGGCAACTCTTATAAAGGACAACATTTAATTGGGGCTGGCTAACAATTTCAGAAGTTTAGTCCATTATCATCATGGCAGGAAGCATAGCAGCGTGCAGGCAGACATGGTGCTAGAGGAGGAGCCCAGAGTTCTGGATCTTGATTCAAAGGCAATCAGGAGAAACAGGCTTCCAGGGAGCTAAGAGGGGTTCTCAAAGCCTGCCCTTACAATGAAACATTTCCAACAAAGCCACACCTCCTAATAGTGCCACATCCTGGACCAAGCATAGTCAAACCACCACACTGTGAAACTCGGGTATGCACATGTGTGGATGCATACATCTGTGTCAAATCTGTGTGAGTGCTTTATCCTCAGAGCCATCAAGCTGGTCCTGCTGATACTTCTTGACGTTTTCTTTGTGCATACACACAAACATGTATATGTGTGTGTGTGTGTGTGTGTGTGTGTGTGTGTGTATGTACCATATGTAATCCCAAATGGCCTTAGAACATGAATGTGTGGTTCAAGCAAGCTTTGAGCTCTCAATTCTCCTCCCATAGCCTGGGGGTTGGGATTTCAGGCGTGTACTACCATGTGGCAGTGTAATGTCCTGATATCTAAGCTCCTAAAAGGTCTTCCATGATGTCCAGGGTACCTTTGTTAGGAAACAGAAAACAAAAAGCAGAACACCATCCTTTCTCCCCAGGTGGTCCTCCAGGCTCCACGAGGCCTCCACTGTAGTGTAGTTACACACAAGGATGAAGTGTGGTTGGTTCCTCGTCCCCCTGACCCCCAAAAGAAGCCCATCAAGGGTCCAGAAATGCATGAAGACCTGTTCAGGCCATCAGGAAATGGGGAGCAGGACAAGGCAAGCTTCCTGAATGCAGTGCGCAGCTTTGGGGCACACAACGTACGCAAGCGTGGCCACGTGGACTTCATCTACCTAGCATTGCGCAAGATGCCAGAGTTTGGTGTGGAACGGGATTTGTCAGTATACAACCTGCTGCTGGATGTTTTCCCCAAGGAGGTCTTCCGGCCCCGTAACGTTATCCAGCGCATCTTTGTCCACTACCCACGGCAGCAGGAATGTGGGATCGCCGTCCTGGAGCAGATGGAACGACACGGTAAGGGAAGTGGGCCCAGCCTTCCTTCACACCCTGCTCCACTCTCCTCCTTTCTGGTTTCCAAGTCCCTTGCTCGCCCCTCCCTCCCACACTCGTGCTTGCGCTCACTCGCCCCCCCTCCCCAAACTCTCCCTCTTCCAATTATTGAACCTAGGGCTGTAGACAAGTTGAAGGATGACTCACCTGGGACGCCTCAGGGCTGATCCCCAGTATCTAATAACCTCAGGTGCATACCTGTCATCTCAGCTCTTGGCAGTGAGGGGTACACAGAGGTTCAAGCCCATCCTTCACTACATTTTTTTTTTCTTTTTAAGATTCAAGATTTATTTTTAATCAGGTGTATGCTGTGTGTTAGTGGGTGTGGGAGTTCTGGTGCCCAAGGAGGCCAGAACAGGATGGTGGATGCCCTGGAACTGCAATTAAAAGTGGTACAGTCCATGTTCCTAATTACTGAGCCATTTCTTTCTCCAGCCCTCTTTCCCCAACACATACACTTTACATGGTCTTGTATAGCCCAGGCTGTTCTTGAATTTGCTGTGCTGAGTAGCCATGCCTGGCTTTGGCTGGTTTTTGCCTACTGTTTCGAGTGCTGGGATTACAGGCATGTGCTATAGTGCGCTGTTTATATGGTGCTGGAATTCAAGCCTTCAGCTGTGTGTACTAGACCAACACTCTACTCAACTGTACCCTAGCCTCAGCCTCAGCCCCAAACAAAACAACAAAAAACATTGATGGGCCAGATGTGGTCGTGCACACCTTTAACCCCAACACTTAGAAGGCAGAGACAGGCAGATGTCTGTGGGTTCTGTTCTACAGATGATAAACTTCCAGACCAGCCAGGGCTACCTACATAGGTAGTAGCAAGACCCTGTCTCAAAGTAAGAATAATGAAAAAATCATGAAAAATAAATTCCTTTTAATTCTGTTCTTCCTGACTTCAAACTTGTGTCTAACTATATCCTGCCTCTCTGAGGCTGTGCTTGGATCTGCCCAAAACAGGAGTCATGCCCAACACAGAGACAGAGTTCTTGCTGATTCAGATATTTGGGCGCAAAAGTTACCCCATGCTCAAGTTCTTGCGGATGAAGCTGTGGTTCACCCGCTTCAAGAATATCAACCCCTACCCAGTGCCCCGAGATCTTCCCCAGGACCCTTTGGACCTGGCCAAGCTAGGCCTGCGACACATGGAGCCTGATCTCAGTGCTAAAGTCACTGTCTACCAGGTACGCATTGCTGTTTATACTGCAGCCACCATCCCTGGCCGGGCTTTATTGCTTCCCTGGGTTCTTCTGCTGGTGTCCTGACAGTGATCATGGTCATTCCTTATTACCGCAGGTAGACCTGTCTTAGTCTATTTACCCATTGTAAGAAAAGTCCCTATGTCCTCTTCTTGTTGCTGTAACAAAATTCTGCAGGCTGAGTACATTATAGAGAAAAGAGCAGCCAGGCACAGTGGCTCATATCCTTAATCCTAGCACTTGACTGATGGGCCAGGTGTGGCCCATACATATGGAGCTCTGTGTCAGCCAGAGCTTCGTCCCTATAGGAGAGGGACTGGGGGTGTGGCTCAGTGGGAGGATACCTGCTTTCCTTGTTCAGGGCATGTGGCTGCATTCCTAGTGGTGTGACAAAAGAGAGAAGCTTGTCTTTATGCTGTATGCTTTATGCTAGGCAAGCACTCCCAGCTGGTCAGGTTCTTGGTGCCATCTGAAGAACTGTTACTTTCTGTTACTGCCATTTTTGCGCATGGATAAACTGAGCTACGTAGGTACAGTGACTTGGATGAGGTCAATGGGGTTGAACTTAAGCGGGATGGCTTCAGGGTAAACTCAGTGCTGGCACTCAGGCCAAGCTGGCTACAAGGAAGGAGAGAAGGGCTACTTCTAGTGATGTGGTGCAGTTGCTCAGGAAGCACCCCCTTCCCTTTGCGCTCAGGCTCCCCTGTAGAGGTTGGGGAGTCACAGCCCTGCTCTTCCTTTCAGATGTCTTTGCCCAGTGACTCAACAGGCATGGAAGATCCCACACAGCCTTACATTGTAGGTAAGGCCCCAGCCTGTCCCAGTTTCTGCTGGATCCCTCTGAGCCCACTAAATGAACTTCTGGGCCTTTTGCTACTAAGGCACCAACAGGTTCTCATCTCTACACCAGGAATCCAGAGTCCAGATCAGCAAGCTGCCCTGGCCCGCCACAACCCATCCAGGCCTGTCTTTGTTGAGGGCCCCTATCCTCTCTGGCTTCGTAATAAGTGCATCTATTATCACATCCTAAGAGCTGACCTGCCGCCTCCTGAGGAAGAGGTGAGTCACTGCCGAGCCTCAGCACCTAAGTTTGATCCCTAGGGCCCATGTGGTGGAAGGAGAGATCTGACTCCTACAAGTTGTCCTCTGAGTTATACAGGGGTATGCATAAATGGTTTTTAAAAAAAGACATAAATAGCAGTAATCAGGAGACAAAGGCAGGCAGAGCTCTTGAGTTTAAGGCCAGCCTGGTCTACACAGTGACTTCCAGATTAGCCAGTACTACAGATTCTGTGTTGGGTGTGGGGCTGGCACTGTCCTGAAGGCTCAGCTGAGGGACCAGGGTTTGTGTTCCGGCCTCTAATCCTGCCTGCTTTTTGCCTGAGGTAGACAATAGAGGAAATCCCAGAAGAGTGGAACCTGTACTACCCAGTGAAGCTGGACCTGGAATACTCAAGGAGTGCTTGGGACAACTATGAGTTTGACGTGGATGAAGGTAAAAGCAGGTCTCAGCAACCTGTGTGGTACTGTTTCTCTACTCTCCACACAATGAGGGGTCATGTGCCCCCCAGGATACCTCTCCTTGGCTACTCTCTCTCCCCTTGTAATATCTTTTATGGAGCATTCTACACTGACTAGTGACATGACCAGAATAGATACAAGCCTTAGGTCAGCAGGGAACAGTCAAGTTATATTTGGGGGAGTTAAGAGGCACATGGTAGCCTCCAAGTTAGGGGTCAAACTTAGTTTCTTGGTAGTATCTGAAGCAGCAGGTGGCATGGCCCAGGGGAAATGTAGAACATTTATGTGGCAAAGGGGGCTGTGTGTGAACTCATGGAGGTGCTCATGACAGGAGGTCAGAGTACCTCAAGGTGGTGAGAGCACAAATTCCTCTGCTAACAGTGACAGAAGGCCCTGTCTTCGCTATGTGCATGGCTGGTGCCCAAGATCAGGCAACATTGGTCAAGTGGATTCAAGGCTTGCAGGAGACCAACCCAGCCCTGGCACAGATCCCAGTGGTGTTCCGCCTGGCCAGGTCCTCGGGGGAGCTCCTGACAACCTCAAGGCTGGAGGGACAGTCCCCTCACCACAGTCCTCCCAAGGGTCCAGAGGAAGATGACGAGGCCATTCAGGCACGGCAGCAGCAGGGTCAAAGTTGAGTCAGAGCTGGCATGAAGAGAAAAGACTGGACTGGTATGAAATAATATGGAGAAAATAAAAAAATCAAAACCTCTTCCCTGGACTTGTGGCTTCCCTTCAGATGTTAGGCATGGGATCTTCTGCGTTTACCACCTCAGGACCCTCCTTTTTAAAAATATATCTTTTTAAAAATTCCATTTATGTATTTATGGTATGGGGGGGGGATGTGTGGAGGTCAGAAGACCATTTGCTGAAGTTTGTTCGGGCATTCAACCCTGTGAATCTGGGAAATTCAACTCAGATTGTCAAGTTTTCCAGCAAACACCTTTCCCTGCAGAGCTATCTTGCTGGCCTTTAAAAACATCTTTTAAATGTATTTACCTTTATTTTATGTGCACTGGTGTTTTGCATGTGTGTATGTCTAAGTGAGAATGCCAGATCTTGGAGTTACAGACAGTTCTGAGCTGCCATCTGGGTGCTGGAATTTGAACCCAGGTCCTCTGAAAAAGCAGTGTGAGTGCCCTTAATTACTGAGCCATTTCTCCAGCTCTTTTGAAAAAAATCTTTAACCACACTGCCCTAGAATTCAAGAGAGAAGCAAGGATAACCTGAGTTTCTGGACCCAGCTGCCTCTACCTCCCAAATAACTGACTGTAAACAGAGCGCACTTCCAAGGCCCGAGCCCGACGGACTATGCGCATGCGCAGCTTTGGCTAGTTGTCCCCGTTTGGCGCCGCGGGCAGAGAAGACCCTGTGAGAAATTTCCCGGCGGCGCAGACTAGGCGCGCCACTTCCGGTCGAGGCTCCTAACAACGGGGGAGGCCGGTAACCAGGGAGGGGGGGGATGGCGGAGCGGGCTCCAGAGCCCGGGGCGGAGGCGGAGGCGGGCGCAAGCGGGGAGGCGGCGGCAGAGGAAGGCGCGGCAGGCAGAAAGACTCGGGGCCGGCCGCGGCTCACCGAGTCGGACCGGGCACGGAGGCGGCTCGAGTCCCGGAAGAAGTACGACGTGCGGCGCGTGTACCTGGGCGAGGCGCACGGCCCCTGGGTGGACCTGAGACGCCGCAGCGGCTGGAGCGACGCCAAACTCGCCGCCTACCTCATTTCGCTGGAGCGTGGCCAGCGTAGCGGCCGCCACGGGTAAGGGGGCGCGGGGCCGGGAGAGGGAGGGAGCGAAGAAGCCGGAGGGAGGGACGAGAGGAGCGGGGCCCCGCCCCCAGAGCGCGAGGCCCCGCCCCGGGCATCCTGGCGGGCCTTGGTCTCAGGCTTAGGCAGCCCAGACCCCTCACGCGCCTCCTCGCGGCTCTGCCTCCGACCCATTGACTACCCAATACAAGCCTTGCCCCACCCCTCTGCCCGCCTTCAGAAGCTCTGACTGGCCCGTCTGAGGAGTCGACCCCGCCTCCACTGGCCTGGCATGGTGCTGTCTCTCAGGTGTAAACCTCCAAAGGTGCTGGGCACTCTTGATTTTCTGTGTATGAGTGCCTTGCCTTCGTGTATATATGTGTACCACATGCATGCTTACGGCCTGCAGAGGTCAGAAAAGGGTGTCGGATCCCCTGAAACCACCATTGTGAACCACCGTGTAGGTTGTGGGAATCAAACCCCAATCCTCTACAAGAAAGCGTCTTAACCCAGCCACCTCTGTTTCAACTACCATGTCAGGGCTACTTGGGTGCATCCTGACTAAAGGCATGTGCCAGGCTTGACATGAGAGCTCTTTTAAGATTTTATTATTGTGTATTTGTACTGTGTGATGTAGGCCTACATGTGGAGGGCAGAGGACAGCTTTGCAGAGCTAGTCCTCTCCTAGCATGTGCGTTCTAGGGATCAGACTAAGATCATGAATGTTTCACCACACTGTAGTTGTCAGAGTATTGCTAAATTGTCATGTGCTGCTTGCTCATACTAGAAGCTGGCTCTGAAAGTATGAATGCCCCCTCCAATTTGAGACTCAAGCATGTTTGTCTCAGTGTCCTCCAGTGCCTTTTGTCTGGGATAGGGTTGGGCCCTCTTACTCTGGGACAGGAAGAGAACAGCAGAAATGCCCAAGAGTAAAAAACCCTGTGCCCTTAAGAACAACAAGAAGGTGAAGCATTTCCAACAGAGATTACCCCTGTTGTCCCGTAACACAGATATCCACAGTGGAAAGAGAAGCTGGAAGGTCAGCTGTGGAAGGAAAGCTCAACTTGGATCTCCAGCTGATGCCCCAGCTTCCCAGCCAGTTGCTGCATGTTGTGAACACTGGATTTGATAGTATCTGTCTGGCTTGCAGCCAGAGCTACATAAGAATACTCTGTCTCAAATAAATACAGAAGGAAAACAGAGAGCTCAGGAAGGATGTGGCCCGTAGTGAGGCTTCAGGCTCTCTGGTTGTGCTCTTGTTTGCACTCATTTGGATGAATGATCCTTTAAGGGTTGATTCTAGGCCCTCAAGAGGTTGGCTCAGTAGTTAGACCATCTGTTGCTCTTTCAGAGGACCTGGGTTTGGTTCCAGTCACTGGACTGTGGCTCACAACCATCTGTAACTCCCGTTCCAAGGGACCTGGTGCCCTCTTCTGACCTCCATGGGCACCAGGCAGGTGCAGAGACATGAGTGCAAGTAAAAACTTATGCACATGAAATAGTAAAATTATGTTTTAAAAATTATCCAGGCATAGTGGCACATGCCTTTAATTCCAGCACTTTGGAGACAGATGCAAATAGAGCTTTTTGAGTTTGAAGCCAGCTTTATTTATATTTTGATTTCCAGGATTGCTACAGGCTACACAGAGAGACTGGGGTCTCAAAACAAAACCAAAAATACTTTGATTTTGATTCTGTGGGGTAGTAACCAGCCAGGAGCAAGGGGTATAACTTGGTGGAGTGTCTAATGCATGAAAAGCTCTGGGATGGGTGCATGTGTGCGTGTGCACACACACACACACACACACACACACACACCTAATAGTTGAGCATATGGCTTCATCAGTAGCTTGCCTTCATCATGCATGAAGCTCAAGATTCATTGCATGTTTCTAATTCCAGCACTTCAGAGGAAGGTGTTTGCTCCCAAGCCTGATGACCTTAGTTGATCCCCAGGACACGTGGTATAGGGAGAAAACTCCTCCTGCAGGTCATCCTCTGCCCTCCATACACAAGCACTGTGGCATGGTCCTTACCCTACAAGTAAATAAGTGGAACACGTTCTGTATAAAAAATTAAACTCTTCCATTGAAGCATGAGTAGTAAGGGTAGGCACTGGGAGGCCAGGACAGAGAAACTTGCGGTAATCCTCCTCTGCTGCCTCTCGAGCGCTAGGCTTATAGGATGAGCTGCCCTAGGGCTTATGTGGTTCAGGAGAAGGAAACCTGGGCTCTGTGCATGCTAGGTATGTGCTCCAATATTTTCTTCATATTTTTTCTTTATTTGCTTTTTTGAAACAGGGCTTTCCTATATAACCTAAGCTGGCCTTTTCTTGGTATAGTCCAGACTGGTCTCAATTCATGATCCCCCACCTCTGCCCTCTGAATGCTTGGGAGACAGGTGTCAGCACCGCTCCCGACTAACGTTTCTAATAATTGGTGGTGGAATCTGTAGATACAGAGGCTGACTCTGCATCCGGGGCATGTGTCTCACAGGGTAGGAATCATGGTGCCCTCTCAGCCTTCCTCCCACTGCCCCACATCCCATCTACCTGGGACTTTCCAAGTGCCAGGGCTCTCTGAGCTAAGTAATGGTGAGAGACCTCCAGTCAGGGCTGCTGGCAGCAGCAGCTGCCCAAGCCAGAGACTGCTGAAGGGAGCAGGACAACAGACATGCAGGCGGCACCCCAGAGCAGGTAGACTGCTGTCGATTTCTGCCAGGCCAGGACTTGGACCCCCTGGGCCCCAATTCACCTTCACCACCTCTCTGTGTTACAGGAAGCCTTGGGAGCAAGTCCCCAAAAAGCCAAAGCGGAAGAAAAGTAAGTGGAGCCCAGCGTGGGGAGGGGTGGGAGCATGCAGAGCACGGCCTGGAATTGGCCAGTCGCTATCCCTGTCCCTTTGCTACACTGTCAGAAGGGAGACGGAAGGAGACGTCAGTCTCTACCCTGCCTGCTTGAGGCAGTATGTCATGAATCTAAAGCAGCCCCCACTCACTATGACCTCAGTGCCTTGCCAAATACTCGGGTTTTGGGTCTCCATCATGCCCGTCAGGGTGGTTCAACAGAGAACCAGCTGGTGGCAGTGAGCCCTGCTCTGCCTCTTTTTTGATGCAAAGGTCTTATGTAGCTTGTTGGCCTCAAAGTCATCCTATAGCTGAGGCTGACCTGTATTCCACAACACCAGGCTCAGACTGGTGGGTGTGCACCACCAGTTCAGCTCACGTGCTGCTATGATGCAGCCCAGGGCTCCGTGCATGGGAAGTAGGAACTCTGAGACTAAGCCATGTCCCCAGCTCCCCAGCTTAAAAAGTATTTTCACGTGCATTTATCCTTTTATTTGTGTGTGTACATGCATGTGTGTGTACTTCACAGGTGTGGGAATCAGAGAACAACTTGTGGCAGTTGATCCCTGCTTTCTACCACATAGGTTCTGAGTATTTAACCTGGGTGGACCAGATTTGATAGCAAGCACCCTTATTCAGTCAACCGTCTTGACTGCCTGCTTTGTTTTTTCTGGCTAGTTTTTCTGTGTAACCAAGGCTGGCCTCAAAACTCAAAATCGCCCTGTCTCAGGATTAGAGGCATGCCTAATAAATATTCCCATTCCCAGCTTTGACACGCAAGTGAGCCGTAATCTTTCCTATACAGCCCCAGAGGGTTAGGAGTGCCAGGCTGCCAATGGAGCCGCTGTGGAGGGCCATGTCACTGACGTCCCTCTCACTAGGGTGGACACCCTGGGCTCACTCCTGCAGCCCAGGCACCTCTTTTGGCCTTCTCTCCCTTCCAGCCTTACAGGTGGAGGACAGTCCCACCCCATCATACTGTGCTAGGCCTCAGCCTTCCTCAGGGCCTTCATGGCTTCTTTGCTCCCCCCTGCCTCTCTGTCCCCAGATGTAGAATTCTGGTTTGCCCCTGGCCACTCACTTGGAGCTGCCTGACCAGACTGTGGCAAAGCCAAGATCTAAATGCAGGCAGTCCTGTTCTGCCATGTCCACCCTCCAGCACCCTTACCATGTCTGGAAGCTCTTGCCCTAGCCAGTCCCAAGGAAGCAAAACTGATCTATGTTTCTGCCCTTGTGGGGCTGGCACTCTGCTGGGGAAGACAGACAAGATCCGTCTAAACAGATGCCACAGGCAGCCTCTTTGTGCTTCTGTAAACAAACCAACATTGGCTTAGACTGACACTGGGAAGGGTGGCTTCTGAGAAGAGTGTACAAGGGGGAAGATTTCTGAGTGAAGGCACCTGGAGGAATGGCCTAGCTTGTGCAAAGGCTGGGGCAGGATCATGTCTAGCCCATTTGAAGGACAGCTAGGCCATGTGGCCAGAGGGAGATGGAAGGGAGGTCATGGGACCTGGCAGTGCCATATGGCCTTGCTAGCCACCTTGGCACTTGCTGCTTTTTCTCCATCCCCTTTGAGGTGGTAGCCGCTGACTTTTGAGTGAGAGAGACTATGCCCTGCTCTCTGTGCGCCCCCTTGTGGCTGCAGAAGGCAGTGCAAAGGCACCAGGGAGACAGACCTTCCAGGACTGTGTGCGGGGAAGATTTTGGTTTGGTTTTGGGTTGTTTTTTTCTTTGTTTTTAGTTTTTCAAGACAGGGTTTTTTTGTGTAATCTAGGCTGTCTTGGAACTAGCTCTATAGATCAGGCTGGCCTTGAACTCACAGAGATCTGCCTATCTCTGGCTCTCGAGTGCTGGAATTAAAGGTGTGTGCCACCACTGCCTAGAGGTGGCAGGATGAACATTTTTATTTAGAAACAGCTGAGTGTGGTGGTACATGTCTTCAATCCCAAAGAAACAGCTAAAAGCTGAGTAGTGGCACACTTTACTTCCGGCACTGGCTAGACAGAAGCAGGCAGATTTCTGTGAGTTCAAAACTATCTTGAGTTACATAATAAGGCCCTATTAGAAAAAAAGAAAGAAAAGAAACAGCCAACAATTATTGTGCCCTTGCCTGTGCCAGGCTCCATTAGCTGTATGACTCACTCAGCCAAGGACAGCTTCTGGCTATCTCCAGGTCCTACTTATCTCTAGGTTTTATCACCTCTTCAAACCTCA